ATTTACTCGTATTTTACACTTAAAATATATATTACATTTTTTATAAAATGTATTATATCCTATGTAAAATGTTATATTATAAAAAATAAATGTTTATTTCAAAACTTTCAACAACCCACCAAAAATAGTATAATTACGATCCGTAATTTGGAAATCTCTGTTTTATATTATAAAGTATTGAACGATGTGGAGGTTTTAAKAATAGTTTTAGGAATTTATTAGTATAAATRGATCAACTTTTTATTAATTGCAATAATTACCCTAGTTTAATGACACGTACAAGATCCAAAATTGGATGCAAAATTATATATTTTATATTTTTTCAGTACAAATTTTAAAGACTATTATAGGTACCTTTAATATTTGCCTACATTATATTACATTTAACTCAGATATTCTGACTCCAATGACTTGTTTGAATTTTGATAATATAGATGCTTGAACATTTAAAAAATAAAAATGTTTGCTTAAAAATGTACGGTAAAAAAGGTTAATTCAAATGAATAAATAAGTGTTTATTAATAACTGTTGAAAAATGTGTACTGAAAAAAATACTAATATTATTAAATTTATTTTAGGTATTCAATATAAATTTTAACCAAATTCTATAATAATTTTTTTCTTAAATAAAGAGTATCAAATAGTAATTTTTGTTTTTGTTACACATAAAAGAAAGTGATTTATATTCAGTTATGTTGTTGTTCGCCTTTTTTAGTTGTATAGACCCGATTAGGGTCAGCACTGAAAATAGTTTTGGCAAGTCTTATTGTTTATAATGTGTATTGTCGCCAACTTGTTGAGTCTTTTCTGGCTATCAAAAGACATTTTTYGTCTTAAGRAATTATATCATGACATTSAAATAAATTAAATTGATCAATATCAAAAATACTAGAAACACACTAAAAATTAATAGAACAATAAAATTTATCTGTTGGTAGTAATCAATATTTTATTATGATATTATATTTTTTATTAATGAAATTAAAATTAAAATTTATCATTTTTTTTTTACTTAGTATACGATATTACGATATACCTACTTTGTTATTACCTGTATTGGTTACATAATTACTATACTAGATTCTATTAATTTATCACTATTCAGAATGAATAATACCCAGATCGAATCTGAAATCATTTCAACAATCTGAATTTAATAAACTTTTTAAATAATGAATTAATAATTATTTATAAAATTATACAATAAGCAATGCAATGATGGTTATTAATGACTAATGAGTACTTTATATCTAATGAGCACATCTTTCTGTAAATATTTTCAGAAACTATGAGTAGATATTTTATTATTTAGTAGAAAATATAAAAATTGGAAAAAATCAGAATAATTATCCGGATACATATGTTATTCAAATAGCATAAATTGTGTTTGAGATTTTTTTTTGGTGGAAGGTGGGTGGGGGTAAGTCTCTTGCTATAAAATGTAGGAAATGTTTGGGGCTATTAAAATTGTTGGGAGAGCTTAGCCTCTAGAATCTAGAGTCGACTCACCTCTTTATTCACCCTAACCATGGTTATTCATTATACATATACTATTTTTTGTTACAATTAGCTGAACCCGTGCACTTCGTAGYCCGTTAAAATGGGTATAAATGGCTTAAATACGTATACTTCCATGTTTTTTATTAGTCGATTTGTGAGTGTTGACAAAATATAATTTGTCTAATCAGAAGGGCCCGCAGATAGAGGCCATTGGGTGCCTTTGCACCCATTGACATTTTTTAATAAATAAATAAATCATTGTGCATATGGGATTCATAACATTTCGTGTCTGGTTCTACTAATAAAATAGGAGCTGTTCCGGWTTAAAAGCACGAAATAATTAATTTTGTTATTTCAAGACTTGTGTTAAATAAATTTACGTGGTTTACATAGGAAAATTACCCAATAATTAACGAATATTTTACTTTTTCCCGTCGTTCATATTTCTTATCTTTTTAATATACGCAAATTGTAAACGTATTAACTATTAGCATGTATTAATGAATCACGTAGTTTTGTAAATCTATGCAGTACAACAACTAATATTTTTATCATAGGTAATATTTGTTGTATTGAATAAAATATWYTGATGAAAATGTTTTGTCTGTAATCTACGTCATTATCACCTAGGTACCTATTTAATATTTGAAATGGTTACATAAATGGGTAGTTTGAACTCTTATTAATTCTGTAGCTATTGTTTACTGTTTATGCTCTTTAATTTATATAAATACGTTGCTGAATTGCTGTTCGTTAATATTTGATACATCACTGGTCAATTTTAAGTGTTAGTTGCAGTAMTTACATTATATATTTACTGTTACGATTAGCAAAATATTTATAATATTATTATGACCCTACAAGCATTAAAGCAACTAAGATCTAACTAAAATCCTAGTCGAAAGTCGAGACTGAATTGTTTTTATTGACTTACGTAAACAGGTACCTGAGGTACCTATACTGTGATTGTAATTTTAACAAAAATATAATGTACCAKACAAATTTAATTAAATCAGCATACAAACGTTAATTAGGTATTACACAACTTTGTTTCGTTATTTAATATCATAAGTTGTGATCATTTTTCAATTTTTGTACCACAAATTCCTCCCATGCTAAATATTTTAAATAATAAGTAACAGTTAAGTATAGTTTCATAATTATTGGTAATAACTAATAGTAGTACGCAGGTTTTTGCTCAAAGTTTTGATATTAATTTACTGATAGGTACAGAATTTTCTAACGAATAAATTACTAAAGAAAATAATACTTAAAATGTGATACTATTTTTTTTTATCAACGTGAAATTATTTTACTCCTAATGAATATAGAGAGAGCTAGGTAGGTTTTATTTTCTCGAACAGGATACTGTACACAAATAATTGTAATCATTAAATAATCGGTATAAGGCTAAATTTGATAGATAAAGGTGATATTCTCTAAAGTTAAATGTCCTACTTTTAATTTCAAAATAATGGTGGACCTGCGGCTCTTGGTTCCAATAAGCCTTATGCGTTTGAGCACATTATATGTACGTCTATGCTTATTGCACRCATTTTCTCGGACTAAGTAAATAGAATATAACACTAAAAATGGTCTGCCACCGAAGTAATATTATCTATTTTTGAAAAGTATTCATTAAGTTATATTTTATTACTATTTTAATATCATATAAAACTGAATTGGGGCATCAAATATCTAGATAGTAGATACCTCTCCATCCAGGTACCATAAGTCATATGATGACCTTTTTAATTAAAACCAATTTTATAAATAGTTTATAATCTGTTCTTGTTTATATAATATGTAAATACTGTATGCTTAAAAATTGTTAACCTTAAACTACTTGTATGCCAATGGCTATAGAMGCSGAGGCCTATTTATATAAATAACAATAATAATAAAAAAATTCAATTGATTTAACAATTACATTTTTATTGATAAATATTATAATTTTATTATATTCAATATTTTTTCTTTAATACAGCGACAAATTATATCAGCTATAGGTTGCGTAATCTACATGATCACAAAAGACAATTATTCGTAGGAATTTTATTGCGAATTGATGTGAATAGTTAGTAATCAATGTATAATATTTTAGTCTACTGTTTTACAGTAATCATTACTTAGGAATTAATTTTTTTTAAACGTATAACTTAGATACCTATTTTAATTGTATTCGTATTATTGTCATGTGAATAAATTCATAATTGGTTTGCGTTATAGAGAACTGTAGAAATATTTTGTATTTTCATTTTTAAAACATTTTGGTTGTTGGTACAAGATGTTTATTTGACTTTTTAGAAATATTATCCATGTAGGTCTCTAAATATTTTTTCCTTAGAAAATGTATGATGTACCTGTTCATACAGGATTAGCACCTATGCATATTTGTGATAATAAGTTAATGACAGGATAAAAAAA